TGAGGGTTCAGAGGTGAGTGAGGCAGGCACGGTAGCCTCTCCCTTCCAGGAGCTTACATTCTAACCTAGATGGATTGTTTTAAAACAAGCAAGGAAAGGCATCCTCTTTGCTGGTCAAAGGAAGGGGTGATCTTTTGCTTTAAGCGTTTATTGATTTTTTTTTCTTTATGTTGAAGTCATAGATGCTCTTGTTAGAACATTCGGAAAACAAAAACATGTAAAGATAAAATGTCTTGTCATTCCCGTTGCTCAGAAAAGTTAACATGTCTGGTATATTTATTTTTTTGTCTTCTTACAAACCACGTGGGCATGTTGACGTCTCAAGTTCTTTTTAAAGGCAGCCTTCTCGAGATAGAATTCACTTGTAGGGTGGCATTCTCTCGGCCCCTCCGTAGTCCGGCTCCTGTCACAATTTGTGAGTCAGTTGAGTCCCATGGGGACACTCTGGGAACTTAGCCGGAGCACCCAGGTAACAATAGTGAGTTCATACCACAGCAATAACCTCAAACAATAATAGCTTTGAACAACTATAGCTTCGAAATGAGGTAGAACGTTTGAAGTATCCTGGGAGAGAAATAAAAGGGAATTGGGATAGGTGCCCAGAGGAAGAACCTTGCTCCCACCTGTAGGACCAGGAGCAATGAGGAAATCCGTCTCTGATCCATGCCTTAAAGGATGCGTGAGGTTTGCTCTGTAGTAAAGAGAAGCAGACAGAAGAGGTAGGGGGGAGAATAAGCTTCTAGTTGAGTGGAGTGAAGGAGGCAGGGAGGGAAGGCTGTTTGGGAAGGGAAGTTAATGCTAGGTCCCAAATGCCTTGGAGTTTGGACGTCGTTCCATGACACGCTCTATAGAAAAGGCAGTGCTGTATGTATTCCTGCCAGGCTGATGTGTCTCATCTATATAAAGTCGGGCATCCAGCCCTAGTCCTACAGAGATTTACAGCATCTTCCCCCAAATTATAACCTGGTGCAAATGCAAGGATTGCCCGAAGAAAGTTAGCTGTAATCTGCAATTTCATCAATAGAGCCGGGGGTGCTGCGAGGTTCCTTTGAGCTCACTCCAATGTTCAAATAAACCAGTTAAATCCCACAAAGAACCAGGATTTTCCATGTAGAGTAACAGGAAAGTAAAATGAGGCAATTAGATCTTTTCTCTCCCAAGGCCAGCAGTTCATTTTACGTGCTTGTTCTTTCTCTTTTTCACTGTTTGACCGGGGTGGAAAATCAAGATTGTCTAAGGCTGCAGTGCAGTTAATTACAGAGGAATCACTCACTTTGAGAGAGCCTCAACTTCTGTTTTCCTACCATGAAGCTTCAGTGGGGAAAAGAAAAATCAACACACTCCTCCAGTCGGTGTAAATGTTAATTCTGAACAGAACTTCTCTCAGTATTCTTGTGGGAAACAGAGTCGCTTAACACAGGCGCCTTGAATAGCTAGTTTGTACTGAATACTTGTTTGAGTCTTTTGTTTTCCTGGTGTGCTTCAAAGAAAAGGGAACTCTTGTGCAATATTGTTGCATTTTCATAGCTGCTCCTTACTCCAACCACAACACTGAGTTTCAGGTGCCCTACTAATATCTGGGGAGAAATTACAGCATGTATTTTAAAACATTGTCCTTCGGTTATTTGTTTTTTTGAGGATTTGCCAAATTTCCCAAGCCACCAAGATAATAAATCTCTGTTTTGACCGGCAAACCTTGAATTTCCTGCAGTCTCAAGAGACCAAAGAGTCTCTTCTCTGTCACCAGCCCACACCGTGGGCAGTGGAACAGATCATTCCGAGACAGCACCCCTTACCAACCTGACAGCCCACTGTGTTTATTAATCATGATTGTGTTGAAACACTTTGCTGGAAAATAGTTTGAGTTTAGCTGTTTCTTTTTACAAAGATAAATACTCCCTTGTTTCAATGATAACACAAGATATGATTTTTAAAAAAATACTTCTTGGTGGGGGGAGGTTTGAATGTTCAAGTGAATTTAGTATCCATTTTTTAAAGATCTTAAGTCTTTAACAACCTGTCTCCACAATAACAGATTTATATATTCAGACATAAAGTCCAAATTTTCTATCTCAACTTTTCTTCTCAGTAAAATTTCATGTTAAAGGGGGAGCCCTGGAAAAGAACTTTTATTTGGCAGGGAGGCTGGAGCCAGCCAGCCTAGGAGTTGGGCTATTCCCAATGTCTCATTTGTGGGGAAAAACCTGTCACTCTGTTAAGAAGAGTAAAAACACAGCTTTCAATAAACGTTAGTTAAGAAGAGGCAAAAACATGCCCAAAGTTATTAGACAATTTCTAAGTTGGCTGAAGTTGTGGAAAGTGGTAGTCACACATGGCATGCTTGATAGGGCTTGATGAGAATGGCATTTTATCTGTGATCCCCACACCCATAACCCAGCCTCGACCTGTGAAAATCACCAGACATCTCAACAGAGGGACAATTTGCAAAATACCTCGGCAGTCCTCAAAACTGCCAAGGTCATCAAAAACAAAATTGGAGAAACAGGAATATCTGTGAATAGCCCCGAGCTGGAGGAGACGTGATAACTAAATGTGATGTGGTAAGCTGCTGGGGTTCTGGGACGGAAAAAGGACTTTAGAGAAAAACTAAGAAACAGAAAAAGAGGATGGGCTTTGGTTGATAAAAATGTTACCAGCATCAGATCGTTGATTGTGAGAAATGTCCCATACTAATGCAAGATATTAACAGTGGAAACTATTACGGGGGTGGGAAGTGCAGAGAGACCGTACTGTATTATAGTTTTCTGTAAATCCTGATCTAAAATAAAGTCTATTGAGGCTCGGTGCCCATAGCACAGTGGTTACGGCGCCAGCCACATACACCGAGGCTAGTGGGTTCCAACCTGACCCAGACCAGCTAAAGCAACAATGACAACTGCAACGACAACAACAAAAATGGCTGGGTGTTGTGGCAGGGCCTGTAGTCCCAGCTACTTGGGAGGCTGAGGCAAGAGAATCGCTTAAACCCAAGAAATGGAGGTTGCTGTGAGCTGTGATGCCAGAGCACTCTACTGAGGGCAAAATAGTAAGAGTCTCTCTCAAAAAAAGTTAGAAAATAAAATAAAAAGTTTATTGAAACAAAAGTCTGAGTGGTAACATGTTGCTTTGTTTAGAAAACACTATTTCAATTACAGACATAGCAGAATTACTATCGCAGTGGAAACACCATGGGCCCAGATATGCCCTGAGGCAGCCTCAGCTACTGTAAGAGAACCCAGAAAAAGAAGAGGTTGGCCTTTCCCTATTCCCACGTTTGAGAACTTCCTTAGAAGTCCATCAGCTCCAGCTCTAGTAAGGACAAGTCTGTAGACTACTATCAAAGCAAAGTGGCACTGGAGATCTGCTGAAGTAACTGTCTGGGCCTTAAAACCAGTTACTAGAGGAAGTGTTTGCTTTCAATGTTTAAGCATCTGCTTTGCACCTTACATTTATCAAACTTAGCTTAAATAACATCATAGTATTGAATCATTTGTAAATGTTTATTAATGTCAGTAATTTTTACAAAGCAAGTATTAATAGCAAGAGGCAATTTTTTTTTTTTTTGCAAAATATGTACAAAAGTAAAAAGCCTTAAGGAACTAGCAACTCGTTTTTATAAAATCATTCTTTCTACTTCTAGACCTCCTCAAGAAATAATTTATTGCCCGTCCTGAACTAAAGCACCGACAAAGAAAATTTACAACAATTATCAGATAATGTGCTTAGTTCCTGGAAAGTTATAAAAAGATATATGTTAAAAAATCCTAAGCCACAAATACTTTTATACAGAGCTAATACAAATCATGTTTTGTTAGGTACAGTATCTATGAGGCGGTTACAAAATAGACTTTTTGATAAGGCTTCTGTGGTAAATGAGTGCTCACTTAGTAAGGTAGAAAAGAAAGGCATTTAAAACATTTTGCAATTCTGCTTCCAGTAAGAGGTAAAGAAAGGGTAAATGGCATAGTCTGCTGGATTGTCCCATATACTGCACAGGAATCCCTGCCCCTTCCCCTTTTTTCCTGGTACCATCAAAAAGCTATGCTTAAAGACAATCTCATCACTTAACCATGGCCAGAAATACATAAACAAGCTTTCTAAATACAACCCCAAATCCAATACCAAGCAGTACGTTACTATCAGTGACATTCACGGATGAAACATTTATTCACACTGAGTCCCAGCATACTTTGATCCATCTGTAAATGTTTATCATCTTCAACATGTATAGGCCATAAAAAGTCCATACAAAAATGCCACATCATTAATGCTTTTAAAAATACTCAAAATTCCCCATGGTTGCATTAATGTACACAGCTATGATTTAATAATAAAAAAAATACTCAAAATTCCATATATGCTCTAGTGTTTGAGATCAGACTGCTGGACCTGGATGCACAGAGCAAACACGTTACTCTAAATGCCAACTCTACATTCAAGTACAGAGTAAGAATGCTAGTGGTACAAACACTGGACTTGACATGCTAATACTCACCGACCAGCCCAAGGCTAGTATCTACTTGATGGTACCTGAAAGAGCCATCAAGTCCAGCTTGTTTAAACTGTTCAGATTTAGACTTCTACTTCAATAATTTATACTTCTCTAGTATAAGTTTATTAAACCCTAACCTCGTACCATATCATAAAGTCCAAATTTTCTATCTCAGCTTTTCTTTTCAGTAAAGAGGTATCCTACCCTTAAAAAAAAAACAAACACAAAAACGAGTGCTTTTAGTTAAGCAGCACAACACAAGGATGGACCATTGTGATTAATGGAAGGCAACAGGATGGAATGATGGGAAGGAGATGAAGCCACAGGGTACTAAGTCCGAGGATGGAATGATGGGAAGGAGACGAAGCCACAGGGTACTAAGTCCGAGGATGGAATGATGGGAAGGAGACGAAGCCACAGGGTACTAAGTCAGATTTCCTTTCCAACTGGAAAGACACCAGCAGAAGTATTCTTGATTCTTCAAGTAAAAGAAATGAGAAGGTAACAGTGACTTTCTCTAAATTTATTAGGGAGTTTGTTACAAATGTTTGGGCTTTACAGACATGATTGCGTGGATTCAAGAGAGAAATTAAGAGTTAACACTGATAGTTAGCCTTCTCGTTACATACACAGAAAGAACGTTGCTACAAGTTGCAAGGGAGAGAATCTTGTTTCAAATGACTTGGTTTGGGGTTTTGTCTAAATGTATCATTATACAATGGAAGCACCAATTTGAGGGTTTCTCAAATAGTGATTTGAGCTTCAGGACATAACAGCATAACGTGGTTAACTTTATTCTTCACATAAATAAGGCATAACCGGATATGTGTGCTAGTGCTGAAAATACAGTCTATCAAAAGCATAAATACAAAGATTTGGGCATATATTGAAAGTTAAGATTTCCTCATTCCTTTAAAAAAAAACTGTAAGGGCGTATGATTTCTGTTGAATCTTTTATCATGTTTTCTAATTATTTCTGGTATTAAGGTGATCTTACTTCCTTCTACTTTAAACAAACCACTGCCACCAACTGAAGAGAGGTTACCCAAATGGCTCTAATATGAGAGACTGATCAGAGGACCCTCTCTATGTAAAGTGTATGCCAGTGCAACTTAGAATGAGACAAAATCATCCTCTTTATTCCACGTTGCCTTCTTTGGTTTGCAGTTGCACTCTGGCGATCAAGTACCCTTTCCAGATAACACCATTGAAACGAAGGTTTCAATTTAATGTGGTATTTGGCAGACAGTAAGAAATTCAGGTTATTACAAATAATGATTAAGCGGCAGGGGTTGCCTTGTATCATTTAGATCTTCAGAAAACATTAGGCAAAACCCTTTCCCTATAAAAATTAAGGTTAAATTTGTGGTGTTCGTGCTTTGTAAGGCAACTCTGTATCCTAGACATTCCTTCAAGGTCAATGAAGACACTTGTGTGATATTTCTTCAAAATTAAAAGAGAAGGCATTCAGATTTAAGAACAGCATGTCATAGAGAAAGAGGCACATTTATCGCAAATCAGAACCATAATGATTTAGCAAATCAAACACACACCAAAAGATTTGAAATGTAAATTACTGTTTTGGAGACTGGAGGGAAGGTGGCACATGAAGATTTCCATTCACTACATTTTATCTCCCTCTTCATACACTTGTATTTCAAAAAGATCTAGTTTTCATGATACAGGTTATGGCTCCTTCCAATGGTCTCACAGCACGGCGTGTAAGAGGATGTGGGCCACAGCCTTCAGATTGACCCTTCCATGTCTAGTGAATGTCTGTCTGAACAAGCTTAAATTAACAGAAGGAATTTACTGCCTTAGAATATATTCTATACTCTCAGACATGACACACTTTAGCGAAGAAACTGCAAATGCCAGAAATAATACTGTACCTTTTTGGTTGGTATTTTACGAGTTTTTGGTGGTAAGTTAACATGGAGAAGAAACTTGGCAATGTATGCTTTGTCAGGCAATTATTCCTATCAGAGATCTTGAATAAGACAAGTGTCCTCTTTCTGAAGGAATCTAACTTCAATCTCCACTGGGGGTTAAATGTTTTGGCCATTCAGTAAAGATTATTTGCTCAATTCATACATAGACTCTCCACAAACAGTCCAAACGTGACTGTGTACATATTCAGATATTCATTAGCACTGAAATTATGCTAACCTTGTAAATTATAAACAATGTATTCTTTTTGGCAAGAAGCACTAGATGTGGAACTATTCAAACACAGCACAAATTATACTAGGAACACCTATACTGTGAGTATGTCACTCTATTTCATCTGTAGCTCCCGTCTTACCATGGCATGAAAACACTGCAAGTTACATGGATATGATGACAGTGGAACTTCAAATGCAAGAAAGTCAGGTATTTCCAGAACAACCCCTGGTGAGCTCACTGAAAAGCCCTCCTCTCATACCACACAGCAAGACAGAACAAGAACCGTTGGCTTGCAAAGGCTGGTTGATCTACAGTGTTGACCAATCATTTAAGGACTGATAAAATACCTGAGAACATACAGTAAAGGAACAGATATCACAGTCTTACTCAGAATTTTCAGGAAAAGCAAAGTTGTCAGACTTTTCAAACTGTCCTCACTGCATATAACCTATAAGCCATTCTGATGAGTTCACTAGGAACGAATTTGTAATCACAAGGCTAACTCATGGGTAAATTTTAATTTGATAAGCAGTGTGGGGAGGTCAAATCCTTAGATGTAAACTAAAAAAAAATTACTACTTATCCTTAGAGGCATCCTTAAAACATTTAAAATACACCTCAAAAAAGCTGGCCTTTCATAAACAATAATTATACAAATGTGTATATACTATAGCTGTGAAAGACACACCAAGAATGAATAGGAATCTCAAATGCCTTCTTCAATAGTCTGACAGGAAAACACAGCCCTTGGTAAGCTCCAAATAAACAAGAAAAAATCCCGCAGTTTGGAGTGGACGGGAACAGACAGGACAGAAAGAGATGTTCGTGATGACACCACACTGATTTCCTATAGGAAAGACCAAATCAACTGAGCTGGACTTAAGAGTAAAACACATAACATTCTGGGATAGGTAACTTTATTTAGAAAGTTCTGTTACCAAGTTGCTTGCAGTTTTTAGTTGCTGCTATGGCCAGAATGTGTCACAAATGGCACATTAAGTTACATAATAATGAAATGAGAGGGGCAAATTCTATTTCACTTGTTGCTTGTGATCAGAGCACTGTATACAGCATTGCTTGCCTTTTGCTCCCCTGTGCCACTTGTGAACTTTGTCACCAGCATCAGACCAGAAATCTTTATGTAAACTTTAAAACACTAAGAACATCACACCTTCAGAAACCACAGAAATTTAATAACAATTTTGTGTATAAGGAATTAAAAAAAAAAAAATAAGGCTAAACCTGTGTAAGTCTATAGAATGCCATTCCTTAGGTCAAACTTTTTTCCAACAGCCCTTTCAAAATAGGAGGTCACCATAAAAAAACTAGACAACAAGAGTAGCTCTGTGTAAGGCAGACAGAAGGTATCTTACTTGTTTAGAACTGTTAGAATCCCTCACCTCATACCTACAGTAGTGAAGGACACTTTCTGTACTTGGCACTATAGGCGGATTCAGTTTGAAAAGTGGAAGGATTTAAAGCCTGAAATATACCTAGTCTGAGGCTGGCCAGGAAGTTATAACTCACTTCAGGGGGAGCCATGGTGAAACAGATTACAGCCTGCATTTCAACAAATCTTGGCGAGAGTTATTCAATAGCTTTCAGCCACAAACCAAAGGCCACAGGAAAAAAAAGACTAAGATTTCCAAGAAGTTAAACACAGAATCAAGATTTTTCTAATTCCTGTTGTAAACTGCTATTTAAAAAAACAAAACAAACAGAAAACAATCAAAAACACAAAAAGGTATTACAATAGCGAGTCTTTTGTACATCACTGTAGCATAAGCTGCTTGAGGTTGTCATGAAGAATAGTATCCTTCACATCCCGGAAAACAAGGCGGATGTTTTCCGTGTTGATAGCAGTGGTGAAGTGGTGGTACAAGGGCTTCTGCTGCTGGTCCCGGCGTTTGTTCCGGAAACATTCCACCAGGAATTTTTGGACGTCTCTTAAGCAGTGGGGATCCCCTTCAAATTCTAGGAAATAGTCTTTGATGCTCACAATTTGTACTTTCTCCTCAAGCAAGTCTGTCTTATTTAAGAACAGAATTATGGAGACATTGCTGAATACCCGGTTATTGACGATTGTTTCAAAAATGTTCAGGGATTCTGTAAGGCGATTGGTCAGTCGATCTTCCATAAGCACCTGGTCAAATTCACTTGAGGAAACAAGGAAAAGTATCGATGTCACACTGTCGAAGCATTCAAACCAACGTTTCCTCTCTGACCTCTGACCACCTACATCAACCATTTTGAAAGGAACATTTTTAATTTCAAAGTCGTACTCGTGAATGCCTTTGGTAGGTCTTCTGGCAAGCAGAATATCTTGTTGTGATGGAACGTAATCCTGAAAAAGAAAAAAAATAGTTTTATATTTAGTAATCCGAAGTAATTATTAGAATTAATGGACCACTAACTGGCCCAGTGAATGGACCTATAAGCAAAATGACAGTTTCTGATACATCAAAGCATCAATACTATTATTATTGTAAAATGGCAAAATACATGGCTTAGCCCCTGTAGCTCAGCAGCTAGGGTGCCAGCCATATATACCAGAGTTGGTGGGTTCAAATTCAGCCCAGGCTTGGCAAAAAACAATGATAACTACAACCAAAAAATAGCTGGGCACTGTGGCAGTCCCAGCAACTTGGGAAGCTGAGGCAAGAGAATCACTTAAGCCCAAGAGTTTGAGGTTGCTGTGAGCTGTGACACTACAGAACTTTACCAAGGGCGACTGCTTGAGATTGTCTCAAAAAAAAAAAAAAAAAAAAAAAGGCAAAATACATTAAAATGTTAGTTTACAAAGACTGGTTCAAAATTCACAGCAAATAGCTAGCATATGCTTTTGTTTTCACTCCTGCAACACACCTCAAATTCAATTCTTATCTACCAGCTGTCCTCATCCACCCCTACTGCTGTATATCCCAGTTTCAGGTTCTGTCCACTTCCCTCTAACCCAGCGGTTCTCAACCTGTGGGTAGTGACCCCTTTGGGGGGTCAAACGACCCTTCCACAGGGGTCGCCTAAGACTATCCTGCATATCAAATATTTACATTACGATTCATAACAGTAGCAAAATTACAGTTATGAAGTAGCAACTAAAATAATTTTATGGTTGGGAGTCACCACACATGAGGAACTGTATTAAAGGGTCACGGCATTAGGAAGGTTGAGAACCACTGTCCTAACCCATCCTAATCATTCCTGTACTATGCACCCGCCTGCATGACTTAGCATTTCTATACTAGGTCACTCTATGCTATCCTTGCTGCTACAGTACATGTGTAAAAAAACACTTTATCTAATTCATCACTTTGAACCTTTTCCTAGGTTTGTTCCCAGGGTACAATCTAAGTAGGTATTATTCAAGCTCCCTCATTTATTGACCCAAGAATTTACAACTAGTCACCTGCTCTGAGTGTGAGGACCTCTGCCTATGAAATGGCATCACACCTGGCCTGTCTACCTCAGAGGGAGGGTTGTTGCAAAGGTCAAGTGTGCTCCTCTCTGAATTCTTGATCAGTGAACTCTGAGCCTGAACAAATGGAAGCTCAGGTCACACGAGTCTCCAGCTACCTGTTGGTGCACTTCCTTATGCAATGTAACTGGTTCTTCCTTCTAGTCTAGTATTTTTCCAGAACTCTGACACAGATTTTTGGCAATATGTGAACAGGAGAGCTTTTCATGTTCATCATCAAGGTCAAAATACTTTAAAAACCAAGGCAGGGCATGGCACCTGTGGCTCAAAGGAGTAGGGTGCTGGCCCCATATACCGGAGGTGGTAGGTTCAAACCCGGCCCTGGCCCAAAACCGCAAAGCAAAAAAAAAATAATAATAATAATACCAAGGCTGGATTTTAAAACAATGCTGACTGTTATTCACTATGTTGCACTTTATGCCTTTCTGAGTAGTATATTATGATTTTGAAATTTCACTACAACATGAATACTCATTTCCTTAAATGGTGCAATGGAATTAAGAATTTAAAAAGTAGGCAGTTCTTAGTTACTGGCAACCCACAGCCGATCGTTAAATAACTCCAGGACTCTGATACAGTGTTGGCTTTCTCATGTTTTCTTCCAGCTTCTGTTCACATACAGGGTGGCCATAAAGTTCACATGCAACTTTATGACCATGTGTAAAGTTCATTTTATATAATCAGCGTGTATATACAATTTTCAGCCTGCCTCCACATTTCTACTTAATATTTTATCATGCACTATTCCACACGCTAATACTGTCATACCTCATTTTAAAAAACTATAAAATACATCATGTGCATTAATGTGCAATAATTTATATTAATATTCCCTACTGATGGTCAATTAACAGAAATACTGGAATAAAAATTCTCATGCAGGCTGGGCATGGTGGCTCACGCTAGTAATCCTGGCTCTCTGAGGCCAAGTCGGGAGGATCCCTTGAGCTTCGGAGTTCCAGATCAGCCTGAGCAAGAGCAAGATCCCATCTCTACTAAAAACAGAATTGGCTGGGTGTTGTAGGACACCTATCGTCTCAGCCACTGAGAAGGCTGAGGTAGGAGGATCACTTGAGCCCAGGAGTTTAACTGACGTTGATGTGAGCTAGGTTGAGGCCATAGCACTCTACCTAGCCTGGATAACGGAGTGAGACTCTGTCCTCATCTCACCCCCCCTCCCAAAATTAAAATTAAATTCTCATGCACATAATTTTTTTCTTTTAGACTATACATGATTCTCAAAAAGGTTACAAACACTTATTGCCCAATTGCTTTCCAGAAGGTAGTACCAATTTACAACAAATGTCTTATGTGTGCCAGCTACTTCATTAACAATTTTTTTAACTTCATAAAAAGAAAAAGTTCTCTACTTTGTTTTTATGAAGAGCTAAGAGGCTCAGCGCCAGCAGCACAGTGGTTATAGCGCCAGCCACATACCGGAGGGTGGTAGGTTCGAACCCGGCCCAGGCCAACTAAACAATTGCAACAAAAAAACAGCTGGGCATTGTGGTGAGTGCCTGTAGTCCCAGCTTCTTGGGAGGCTGAGGCAAGAGAATCGCTTAAGCCCAAAAGTTGGAGGTTGTTGTGAGCTATAACACTACAGCACTCTACCAAGGGTGACATAGTGCAGCTCTGTCTCAAAAAAGAAAAAGAGCTAACACTCTAGATAGGACGCTAAAGGTTAATTCATTGGAAGCTCGGGACAATGTAATGAAGGGCTAACTGGTCTGGCTGAGTGGAGTGTGTTATAAGGACATGCACACACTAGCTGTGTGACTGGGGCTAGTCATTTAACCTCTCTGTGTCTCAATTTCTTCACTTGTAGAGATAACACTGACCGGGTTGCTATTAGAACTAAATGAGAAGTGATTACGTGAAGTCAGTAACAACTGTGCATATCTGCTGTCACCTGTTGCTAATACTGTTGCCACCACTGCCACAGCTAAAGGGAGGGCAGTCAAAGACGGCTGGAAAAGCCAGGCACAGATACTTCCATCCAAGTTCGGTTTCCAAACTCTCACTGGCCATTTGTGCTTAACCATCTGTTCAGGACCAAACACACCCATGGAAACTCACGTTCTTCCTCACCACTCCTCTGACTGCCCCCGTCCCCCGGCGCTGGGCGCTTTTCTTTCTGTTCCCTCCCCTCCCCCAGCCTCAAGTCTTCAACTGTCTTGGATTATTCGCTATCATCTCTTTGTCTGTATCAAATCCTGCTGTTCCTTCCTTGATCCTTACATGTTTCCTTTGCTCTTATTTCTACTGCCCCCACTTTTTATCATCTCAGAGGTGGCTGCCATCTCCTCACTAGTTTCTTTGTCTGGAATGTGTCACATTTCTGGGATCTATCTCTAAGCCATTCCATGCCTGTCCAAGACTAAACCAACCCTCCTGCACCAGACCCAAACTCTGCTGATCCACTTTCAGGGTCTTCCTTATGCTTTGTTTTCTGGACTCAGAGTCTGTTCTGCACTGTTCAAGCTCACCACAGTGCCTAGCATCAAGGCCTGCACAAAGCTTCATGTTTTAATACCATTACAAGTTCATTCATTTGCCCAACCGCACAAGTGTAATGAACAATGCATAAAAACTCAAGCTACTGCCTCCTAGAAATCTGCTTCTACAAGTGAGAGCCAACACTCCCCAAATCCTTCATCAGGCAGATGTGCCTTCTAAAACTAAACACAGCCCGCTGTCTGCCATCTCCTCTTTCCATCTGTAAATCCAGTCCACCCTCAGCCTGTCCAGGCTCACCTACTCTTGTGCTAGTGGCAACCATTCCAAGATCTCTCTCTCCAGTCCATGAACTAATAATATATTCGTGATCAGCATCATTTAATTGTCTTCTGCTTGTTTCATGTACAGGGTGGACATAAAAGTCACGTGCAATTTAAAATAGTTTAATACAGTTCTGTTTCCCTGACAGATCAGGCTTCTTAAATGTAGGATAAAAGAACAAAACAGCTAATATCGAGCATTTACTACATAGTACATTATTACACCTTCTGCGTTTATTTCACATCACTGTCCCATAACCCTACAAGATCAGTTCTCCTAGGTCAGGGATGAAGAAATTATAGTTTAGAGATGCCCGAGGTCACACAGAGCTAGCCCGTGATGGAGCAGGGGGTGGGAGCCCAGGCAGTCTGGCTGCAGAGCCCACATTCTTGACACCCATGCTGTTCCCACTCCACAGGGCCACAGGACTCAGCAGGCTTTTGATGAGTCTGGTACTTTAGGAAGAAATGGAACAATCCTGTGATTTGGCCCAAGTTTATTCTATTTTTTCCCCTTTCTCTTCCCTAAAAAGAGAACATTAAGTTTACACTCATTTCCCCTATAACTACATGCTGATCACAACACTTTTTTCCTTTTATTCCAGATATGGTCTTAGAATTGTTCACATCAGAGGATTCCAAGTAACCACTACAAACTGACTGGGGTTGGCCTGGGCTCCCTCACTCAGAGGCTGTTTGTTGAGAGCTTACTTTATGCCAGGTATAGTTACCAGGTTAACCATGGTTACCTGGAACTCTCAGCTTCACAATCAGGAAATGAGGTCCTTGCACTTATAGAAATAGATGAGTAAAACCAAGGTAACTGTCAACTATAACATGCACAATGAAGGAAAAAAGCAGAAGTTGATACTGAGAATGAGAGGCGGAGACCTACTTTGAATGATGTGCTCAGGGAAGGCCTATCTGAAAAGGTAAATCGAGAAGGGCAGGTCAAGTCAGCACCACGTGAATTGGAAAATAAGAAGTAACTCTTATACACTTAGTTTACTACTAAGGCTTCTCTCCATTTGGCTTATATCTAACTTTGTTTAAGGCTTACAATCTGACTTGGTGAAAAAGTGTTAATAAAATACATCTTACGACAAAGCTTCACTGATGTGGACCGAAATGAGTAAAAACCAAACTACTAAGGTATCAACTTGTGAAGGAACCTTGTATCTAGGAAACTGGAGGAATAAAATCATATTGGCTTAAGGCAAACAAATGCAATTTAATAAAAAGGAAACATGTAAAAATGAACCTGCTAGGGCAAAAAAAATGCATACTTTTCCACACGTCATTGCTACTTCATTGCTACTTTCCTACTTGCAATGGGTTCGTTTGTGCTTTCTTTCAGTTATATTTTTAAAGTTAAAAATCTCAAAGAGCCACAAGACCCTGATTTTAGTATTTACCCCTCAGATCCAGCAGCTCTGAGATGATGCTAGGCTGGCTCTGGCTTCCTGGCTGCTGCAGGCAGAGCAGCTCCACTTTGCCTAAGTTTGTAACAGAAACTTGCTTTACAGGGAGGCAAACGAAGCAACACTAAATTTAGTAAGTAACAAATGACCCTAAACCAACCATTTTCAAAAATTTTCTAAGCAAACACAAAACAAAATAAAAAAGCCCTCAATTTTCTAAGTAGTAAAACCTTTTCTTCCAATGAACTCTTCTGCGCATGTCTGATACAGGGAGCAGACAAGCAGGGCTGCTCCTCCTGGAAGTCAGGGCCAGCCAGAGTTCCAGCTGCTGGCTCCAGGAATACACTACAGGAAAATAATTGACTCTCTTTCCAAGCGTGACTCCCTCCCCACATCCTGCAGTCCCCTCAGCAGGCCTTCAGAATCTACTCTGCAACTTAACCCAAAGGGGACATGAACTGGAAAATGTCATTGCTGAAAGGTTTGGAAATAAATCAACTCATTGTGTTCCACTTCTGCTTATAAAATACAATGAAGTATGACAGATAACGTGCAATCTCACTTTCAGATATAAACTTCTTTCTCTAAATGGTTTTATTTCCACTAAAAATGGATAGGGCATTTCTAAAGGAAATGGTAGGAGGAGAACAAAAGGACTGCTGTCACTGACATGTAAGCATTTTGTTCATTTTGAAAAAATAAAAATCATTCAATATTCTTGCTAGCAATCACTCTAAATAAAGTACAAAGAGTAAGAATACTAACATTAGGAAAAAGAAACTAGATAGCCTAATATGTATAATCTTGCTGCAGTCTTCCTAACAAGCCATCCCCAAATTAAACACTGACATCCTGACTAGTGCTTTCAAATGGCAATAAACATAAACATTCAGTTTAAAAACTTACTGGTTCTCCAAGTTTATCCAAGTTATCCAGGAAATATTTTACAGATTCACCCTAAAAACAAGAATAAGATAAATAATTATTGGGGTTTAGAAATGGAAGATCTTATTACAACAGTTTGTATTATACTGTCTTGTTGTACACTTATCCAAACATATTTTGTTTAGTAATCAACTTCAGACCGAATAAACCTTCCTGAAAACATAAAAGGCCTGCACTGTCACCAAGTGCCAAATCTGCAGAGGCTGCTTGATCCCACCGGTGCTTTACATATGTGACACCTGAGTGACACTTCCTTATGGACCAGATTACATGCATGCTTTCCGATATAACTATGTATCCACAGAGAAGAGACATAATTAGAAGTTGAAAACTGCTTTTGGGATAAACATAAATTTACAGCTAAAAAAAAAAATTTTTTTTGTTTTGAGACAGAGCCTCAAGCTGTCCCCATGCGTAGAGTGCTGTGGCATCACAGCTCACAGCAACCTCCAACTCCCAAGTAGCTGGGACCACAGGCGCCCACCACAACGCCTGGCTATTTTTTGGTTGTAGTTGTCATTGTTGTTTGGCAGGTCCGGGCTGGATTCGAACCCTCCAGTTCTGGTGTATGTGGCTGGTGCCTTAGCCACTTGAGCTACTGGCGCTGAGCCAGTTTTCTCATCTTTAATATAATATCCATCCCACAAGTTTGGGGGAACGATCTGATGAGCGCACACAGTCAGATGCCTGGTATAGTGCCTGGCACAC